CAATGGGAGACACCGAGGCTCAGCACCTCTTAGGATTGGGCCTGTAATGATTGAGAATACCTGTTAGTTCATCCAGAGATTGGGCTGCTGTCCCCTATGGGCCACCTACGAGGGCACCTTCCCCTCTAGCTTCCATGTCCCAAGCATGGGGTCGTAACCCCTCCCTGGGAGACCATTCCACAGCCTCACAGAGCCCACTGGTGGGAAGTTGGTTTAATTCTTGTGCTACCCACACCCTCAACAACTGCTGCCTTGCCTTGGGGATTACGCCCATCACAAAGCTGGAGCATGTTACGATGCACCTCCACAGCCATGCCAGCTCCAGCTCCATATATCTGCACATGGAGACAGCTCTTTGCACCTTCCCTTGCAGCCGCTCCCTTCAGACCCTCAGCAACGGCGTTGCATGGCCTCCAATCTTCCCATATCTTCCTGTGAACCAGGCCAGAACCCCACACTGAGTGTTACTGAATCTGAGCCGTGGAGGGCGGAGCGCTCCCCTCCCTGATCTGTGACATGACGGCTCTGCCCACACAGCCTAGAAGGGCACTGGCCCTTTTGGGCAGCCATAAGATATCACAGGCTCCTGGTGAATCCTTCTTGGTTCCCATTATTATTCCCAGATCTTATTAGTTTAGACTTTCCCACGCTGACTCTCATTGAGCAGCTACCTGTCTGTGTGTTCTCCAGTATCGATTTCTGTCCTCACTGGCATTTCCAGCTCTTCTCATTTTAGTTCCATCTGCCAATTGAATGAATGTGCTGTTTAGTCCCCACATCCAGATCATTAAGGGAGGGGTCAAGTAAGACTGGAGTTTATCCTGCCCCCTGCTAGACACTTCCCCATAGCTAATACAGTGCACTGGTCTTTGCCTTTTGCTTAAGATCATTCTACCAGTTTTAACTCCATTTGACCCTGTTCTTATCCAAGCCAAGGTTGTATTAATTCTGTAGGAATTTGTGAGACAGCATCAGATCCTTTACAAAACCTCAATATACTACAGTTACTGCACTCCCATTAGCCACAGCCTTGGATTTTTTCCTATCTCTTCCATCATTTTACTATTACAATTATTTATATTTATGGTAGCACCCAAAATATGCCGGCCGCTTCCAAACAAAGGAGCTGCAGTCTGTTCCAGTCATTCCTGTGTCCTCATTCATTTCAGCCCCTTCATTTATTAATGGGCCTACTTTTCTCTGCTGGGCTTTCCCCCTGCAATAGCTGTCAAATCTCTTATGTCTTGCAACACATTTTGGAATCACACATTCACTTTGCATTTCTGCTGCCCTGCCCCTGAGCGTTTCTGTCTGGTCACCTCCCCTTTATCCATTTCTTGTCTGTAGCTTTCTGAGCAGCCTCTCCTGAAGCCACACTGGTCACCGCCTGCCTCTTGCACTCCTCCATTTCAGAGGAGTCATGGTCTGTCACCCTTTAATTAAGATTCCCAGCCTCCTCGCCTTTGTTCCTAAGGGCCCCAATCCTTCATTGCACACTCAGAGAGCTTTCAATGGGGGTTCTGGCTACACAAGGTAATTCCCCAAAATTTGCTTCCTGAAATCTGTAATTCTCATTCATGAAAATGTACACAAATAGCTCATGATCGCTGGTTCCAAGCTTTCCTTTTAGTCTCAGAGTCAGACAAACCCAAGCTAGGGCACCTTCTCCTCAGGTTGGAATCTTTAGCTTAAGTTGGGCTATATTTGGTTGCTTAGATAAAATCTCACATGCATATAATATCTTTCATGCCCGGTGCCTTAAGAACTAAGGGCTTTTTCAGTCTCACTGCTCTCCAGCCCTAGTGACCTGTAGCAGATACCCACCCTCATTTCTCCCCTTAAATTCTTGCTCACTGGAGTTCCTCACCATAATCTTGCCAGGGCTTCCCTGCAGGACACTGATCAGAACCCAAAAGACTCCAAGGAGTGCTGAGGACACCAGAAGGAGGGAATTGCACTCAGATGTTTGTTGTTTTTCCATCACTGTGGGTGCTGTCTATGAGTAAAGCGTGTACACACATGTCTAAGAAGTTCCTTTGCAAAACCTGTGTTCCTTGCTTTACCCGTCACATAGTCCCCAAAGAGTTAAATGATAACCCAGAGCACCATGGAGGATGGACTCCGGGGAGAGCATGCACAGGCTTGGCAGGTTCTCAGAGCCGAGGGCAGTTGGACTGCAGGGTCCCATGGTACCAGGGATAGAGTCTGCACGCTGGCCATGTGCCAGAGAGGCCAGGACTAGAGCCAGTGCCTGGGCCCTGCTCCGCCCCAGTTGGCTTACGAGGGATCCAAAACAACCAACTGCTGAACATCCCCGGGGGGGCTCAGCCAGGGCAGTAAGCGATAACAATACTTCCCCAATGGCAGGGGAAGTGTAAGTGGGATGTAACATTGGCAGGAGGACACTGGAGTTAAAAGCCCTTTGCTTGGTGAGACCCACCATAGGGCTTCCCTGGCCACAAGGGGTTGGGAGCTTGTCCATGCGGCAGCAGGGGTGGGAGGCTTCTGTCTAGGTACTCTTCTCTCCCCCCCCCCCCACCCCATGCACAGAGGCTCACAGGGATGAGAGGGCTGTCTCTAGTTACCATAATTACTCACTGAGTGAAGGGTGAGAGAGGCAGAGCCACTGGGAGAAGGGCCCACAGGTACTGCAATTAGGGGAAACCTGAGATTCCTCCGACAGACAGGGCCACAAACCGACCTCTCTCTCCATTGTCCCTGGGCAGTTTAGCCTTCCCCTGGCGGCAGGCTGCTGGGCTGTACTGAGCAGGGAGTCAGTGCAGTCTGGATATCACAGCAAGGTCTGGGACACCCAGGGGACAGGGGTACAGCTCCCAGCACAGTGCCAGAGATGGGTGGAGGAGGAGCAGGGACAATGGAGATTTTCAAGATTTCCCTTTGATAAATTCATTCACCCCATCCATTAGCCCCTCCTACATCCCAGTGCATCTGCCATTTCCCCAGGGCTGTGCCCTGGTGCCCTGTGGAGCAATCTGCCATAGCCGCCCCCTTCCCACAGCACAGCCTCCCCCCGGTCCCTTCACAGCACAATGCCAGCCAGGATTAAATGGCTCCCTCCCCAGCACAGCACTCCCCCTTCTCCCCCACACCGTGAAGCCCCCCACCTACCCCCTATTCCCTGCAGCACAGTGCACTGCCCCCCACTCCTCCAGGCTCAGGGCTGGGATCCCTCCTGCTGCGAAGGGCACTCAGTGACCTTCCTGGGAGAGCAAATTCCCCTCCTCTCACAGCACAAGCCCCAGGAAAAGAACAGAGACTAGAAAGCGCCTTTATTTGGAAAATGATCTTGGTGTCCCGTGCTCCCCAGGGGAGCCTGACAAACCTACCACATACCTGCCTGGGAGGCCCTAGCACTGTACAGTGGGGCACCAGGGCCCTGCACCGTCCTCCTCAGCCCTGGCCCTCACGCCTCCCACACCCTGCCCCTGGCTATCATGCCCCTCTCTCTCTCACACACACACACAGGCTGGCAGAGCGGGGAGGGGAGGGAGACAGCAGGAACCCTCCTTCCATGAGTCATCTGTACCCCACATGGCCCTTATCCTGCTCACTGTAACCCAGGGGTAGGCAACCTATGGCAGGCATGCAGAAGGCGGCATGCAACCTGATTTTCAGTGGCACTCACACTGCCCGGGTCCTGGCCACCAGTCCGGGGAGCTCTGCATTTTAATTTAATTTAAAATGGAGTTTCTTAAACATTTTAAAAACCTTATTTACTTTACATACAACAATAGTTTAGTTATATATTATAGACTTATAGAGAGAGACCTTCTAAAAACGTTAAAATGTATGACTGGCACGCGACACCTTAAATTAGAGTGAATAAATGAAGACTCAGCACACCACTTCTGAAAGGTTGCCAACCCCTGCTGTAACCTCATAGCCCCCCGCCTGGGTCTGCATTCCCCTCTGTGCCCCATGGACCTGCTGTGGCCCTCCTCCCTGTCACCGTAGCCTCCTCTCATCCGCATTCACCTCCAACCCATGCAGCGCGGCTGGGATCCTGCCCCGTGCCTGTAATCTGCCAGCCACCCCCCCGCCTCTCCACGCTGTGTATCCCCCATCCCACACAGGCCTGCTGCGCTCCCACTGACACTGCCATCTGACCACCCCCCCCTCGCCCCAGCCTGAACTCCCCCTCGCCTGCTGCAGAATCAGACGCCCCCATGCAATACCGGCCAGAATTCAGCACCCGGCTGCTTGGGAAACCCCCATTATAATTAACCACTGCCAGGCTGCCTCTGACGCTCCCACCTCTGGCCACATGGCAGCCACACAGACCCCACTGCTAGCTGCATCCTGGAGCAGTTCATTACGTCACCCCTGCAGGCTGCAGCGCCCCATGGAGGCTTCCTGAGAACCCAGGGTGGGCGTGAACGACGCCTTCGAGCCGCCCAGCTGGCGGGGGCTGTGTTTGGTTCACATTCATTCTCTAGCACAAGAAGCTCACGTGCGCTGGTCGGCTGGTATGTCAAGGACGCGGGTCTGAGGACATCTCATCGTCCCAACAGCTACCGGTGGGGCGGCTCCTGCTTCTGTGGGTAAGACAGGTGCGCATGCTGCACGCGGAAAGGCCGCGGGCTGAGCAGGGGGATGTGTCCAATCAGACGCAGAGGGGAGCCCAGGCATGGGATGCTGGAGTGAGCCGGTGGCGACTGGCCTGAGCAAGAGGCCAGGGGAGGCAGGTTTCGGCTGGGAGGGGCAACGGGCACAGGGAACGGTACGATGGCGTCAGAGGGGACCAGCAGGGCAGGGGTGTAGCCATAGCGGAGCTGGAACATCTTGGGGGAGGCTGCGTTTTGCACCAGGGCAACTTGGGCTCGGGCTGGGCTCAGCGGGGCAGCTCGCTGCCCCTCGCAGCACGTGGGGAGCCACCTGGGCTGCTTCTCCTTCCGCAGGAGCTGCTCCAGTTTCTCCACCTGTGTCCTGCGGAGATGGGACAGCATCCGGCTCTGCTGAAAGAATTCCAGGAAGGCGTCCAGGGGCAGCTCCCGGCCCAGGAACATCGCCACCTGCGCCTGTGGGGCACGGAGAATGGGATGTCAGCCTGGGGTGGGGGTGGGGAGCAGGAACACACAAATCTGGGAGGGCCCATGGGACCCCGGAGACCGACAGCAACAGTGAGCCAGAGAGCAGGCAAGAACCACGCAGAGCAGCAGGGGACCCCCAGGAACCCGATGGGACAGCCGTAGGAGAGGATGCTTTGGGGGTGAAATCATGAAGTCAGTGGGGGTTTTGACATTGACTTCAGCAGAATCAGGATTTCACCCATGGCACCTGCAGTCTCCCAAGAGGACGCAGGTGACACATGGCTCGGTGGCCAGCTCCACGCAGCTCCCATCGCTACTGACTGCCAGTACTGCCAGTGGCACCGTGGCGCCGGGCCCAGAGTCAGAAGGGGCCCCAGCCAGCCCGATCCCCCAGGTGGCTAGGAAAGCCGCCCCTGCTCCGCCCCCGCCTCTTCCCACCCCTGCTGTGCCCCAGCCTCACCCCCATTCCACCCCTTCCTCTGAGGACTGCAGCAGGGGTCGGGCACACCCTGCACTCACTGGGCGGCAGTAAGTGGAGCGACCCAGCCCCAGCCCGCCCCGTGCTGCTGGCTCCCAGTTGTGCTGCTAGTGAGTGCTGGGGGGGCGGTTCCCTCCTGCCCCCCCAAGTCCCAAGGCTGGGAGCCAGGGGAGCAGAGCGGAGCAGGCTGGGGCCAGGTCATTCCACTTGACAGAACAAGGAGCAATGGTCTCAAGTTGCAGTGGGGGAGGTTTAGGTTGGATATTAGGAAAAACTTTTCACGAGGAGGGTGGTGAAGCACTGGAATGGGTTACCTAGGAAGGTGGTGGAATCTCCTTCCTTAGAGGTTTTTAGGTCAGGCTTGACAAAGCCCTGGCTGGGATGATTTAGTTGGGGATTGGTCCTGCTTTGAGCAGGGGATTGGACTAGATGACCTCCTGAGGTCCCTTCTAACCCTAATAGTCTATGATTCTATGATTCCTGCTGTCCCATGAGTGTGCCCCAACCCTGGCCCCAATCCGCTCTGCTCTGCCACTCGTGCTGGGGGCGGTTTCCCCCCTGTCCCCCAAGCCTGGGGAGGAGATGGGGCAGTGGGGAAGCGGAGACAGGAGGGAAGAGGCATGGGGGAAGGAAGGGGGTGGGATGAGGAGGAGATGGAGCGGTGGGGAAGGGGCATGGGATGGGGAAGAGAAGGAGATGGGGAAGCGGGGGCAGGGAAGCTGGAGCCCAGCATGCGGCATCCCCTTGGCAGAAGCTGGGGCTCCCGTTAAGCAGGCCCATCAAACCCTTACCCTGAGAAGCCCCACCTCCCCTGCATCTGTACCACCCCGATGAGCCCCCCCCCAGACACCCTCCCCACTGAGCCCCAACCACCTGCACCTGGACCCCCACCCAAATGAACCCCACCTACCCTGCACCTAGACCCCCCCGCTGAGCCCCAAACACCTTCACCTGGATCCCCTGCAGAGCCCCATTGCCCCTGCACCTGGAACCCCCCAATGAGCTTCTGTGCATCCAGATCCCCCACTGAGCCACCTGCACCCAGATTGCCCCACAGAGAACTCTCCTACCCCCACACTAAGTCCCTCTGCACTAGGATCCTGCTGCCGGGCTGAGCCTGCTCACCCACACCTGGTGCGCCTGGCACATGGGGGTTTCTGGGGCAGGCCTGGCCCTTGCACTGTGTCAGCCTCATTGCCGAGTCCCTGTCCTGGGGTGGGGTGGGGGGAGGCTGAAGGGGAATCTCCCACCTCCATGCAACCAATGGCCTGTGCTCCCCACTGCCATGTTGGAGCCTCCACATTTATTTATTGACAAATAAAATTTGCAGAATTTTAAAATATTGTGGCAGAATTTTAAATTTTTTGGTGCAAAATCCCCATAAGAATATAGGGTGCTGTGTAGCTGTGATGGTGGGACTGTGAGGAAGGGGGTGGGCAGTGGGGAGGTCTACGGGTGGGGGGCGCTGGGCGAGCGGTGTGGGGTGCAGGGTGCTGTGTAGCTGTGATGGTGGGACTGTGAGGAAGGGGGTGGGCAGTGGGGAGGTCTATGGGGGGCACTGGGTGAGCAGTGTGGGGTGCAGGGTGCTGTGCAGTTGTGGTGGGAGGGCAGCGGGGGAGGTCTCTGGGAGGGGTGGGGACTGCGCAGAGAGATCTGTGGTGGAGGTCTCTGGGCGAGGGGGCACTGGGCATAAGGGTGGGGCACTGGGCAGGGGGGCGGTGTGGTGCGGGCTCGCCCTCCAGGGGAAGGGGCATGCTGGCAGTACAGCGCTGGGCAGGCCAGTGTGCGTCTGGCAGCTGCAGGTTTGTAAACAGTGCCCTCTTGCTGGGCTGCGCAGAGCGGGGCTGCTCCCGCCAGCTGTGCCTCATTGCCCCCAGCCTGCCCTTCACTCTGGACACTGACCACCCCGCTCCCCTGCACCTTGCCCTGGGGGGCCCACAAATATGTTTGGCACCGGGCCCACAAAAAGTGAATCCAGCCCTGCTGACCGAGACGTCCCAGGGACTGAGTGGGGGGAAGCGGAGTAGCTACAAGGTGACCAGAGTCAGGCAGGTCAATAGCAAAGCAGGTCCTGCAAACTCACCTCCGACTCCGCCTCGGCTGCGTCCAGAGCAGCTTGGAGCTGGCTCAGGGCGCTCTGCGGGCTCCACTTCCTCAGGCAGGTCTCTGCTTGGGGGGAGAGCAGCTTCAGCCAGGGGCATACAAACGAACCCGGCCCTGCAATGGAGCCTCCAGCCACCCCCCTCCGGCCAGTCCAAGGAGAGGCCTCCGACCCCATCGCCCAGCCATGGTCCTGCCCTTGGGGGGCCGTCACTTGCTGAGCCAAAAGCTCCTCCCCCAATGGCCATCAAGGCAGGGCCCAGCCAGCGAGTGAGAGGCCAGAGCCGGCTCCCCCTCTGCATCCCAGAGCCAGAGCCTGGGGACAGCAGCCCCCACTGACACAGGGTGGCTCCACTCACCCACTCGCTGCTGCTTTTCCTGACACGCCTCCCTTGTCTCCCGCAGCTCCTGGTACTTTATGGCCAGTGAGGCTTTGCTGTTCTCCAGCCGCGGCTGCAGGGACAGGTTCTCCTTGGCCAGGGCATAGTTCGAAGCCAGGCACGTTTCCCGCTCCAGCTGCAAGCTCTGAAACTGCAGGGACATCATAGCTCAGAACTAGCACCCCGGGCAGAGCTAGCCACCCCTCAACTGCATTGCCAACGCCACCTGCAGGGCCTAACCCCGCCCTCCAGAAAACACCCCTCAGCACACTGCCAGCCCCACAGCTCTCTTTTCACACTAGCCCCACTGACCGGCCCATCACAGCTCAGTCCTCCCCAGAGAGCCCCCCAATTCACTCAGCCAGCCAAGTACAGAGGGTGTTAACCAGAGCAGCCAGCTCCTCATCAAAATAAGACCTTTTACCAGCTCCACCTCTCAGCACCATTCTGCTCCCTCCACCCCGGCTTCCCCAGAAGCAGTAGGGGGGGGGAAGAGTTCCTGGCAAGAGGCTGCAGCTGCATTAAAATCCAGCCACACAGGTAGGAGCCCCACACACCAACTGGCCTGGGGGAAATTACACAAAAACTCCACACATCTTGAATGAGCCAGACAGCTTCTCTGAGGGCTAAACAGGGTAACACCGGTATTCCCCCCACCCACAGGCACGAGCCAACCACTGAGACGGGTTTGCTTTCTGACAGGCCCAGGGAAGAGATGCTGGAAAACAGGCTGAGAAAGACTAAAAATAATCTGACCTGATTCCCCAGGAACATATCCCAGCATGTCAGAGCCTAACAAACCTTCACAATTAATTCTAGTGGCACTAGCATTCCTGCGCAGAGCCTGGAAAGTGAACTGGCCATCTACTAGCCAGGGGTCTGACGGTCAGAAGAGGGAAGGGAACGACCTGCAGGGTCAAGGGGAAACGCCCTGGGCAGCAGCCCAGCTTCCCTGTTCGCCCAGTGGCTGGTGCTGGGATTTCTAGCAGGATGTCAGCCCCAGACCATGCTGAGGCTCCACTTTTCCTGTCATCCTCTGGCACAGATAAATTGTGTCTGATTACAGCAACTCCTCACTTAAAGTCGTCCCGGTTAACGTTGTTTCGTTGTTATGTTGCTGATCAATTAGGGAACATGCTAGTTTAAAGTTGCGCAATGCTCCCTTCCAACGTTTTTTGGCAGCCGCCTGCTTTGTCCACTGCTTGCAGGAAGAGCAGCCCGTTCAGCTAGCTGGTGGGGGCTTGGAACCAGGGTGGACCGGCAGCCCCCCCATCAGCTCCCTGCTCCCCTAAGTTCCCTGTGCAGCAGCTGCCCAGCAGGCTAGCAATCGGCAGTTCAGCTGTCCCTCCCCCCACTGCCATGTGCTGCTCCCGCCCTCTGCCTTGGAGCTGCTCCCAGAGACTCCTGCTTGCTGTGCGGGGGGGGGGGAGGGGAGGAAGAGGGGGGCTGTCAGGGTGTCCCCCTCCCCCCTGCACCCCGCTTACCCCATCTTCCATAGAGCAGGGGGACACACAACAGGGCTCAGGACAGAGGGAGCTTGCTGGCAGCAGCAACTGCGGTCTCAGCAAGCTGATCTAATTAACAAGGCAGTGTACTTAAAGGGGAAATGCGCATCTCTCTCTCTCTCACACACACACACACACACACAGTGTGTGTGTCTCTGTCTGCCATGCTCTCTCCATTCCTGCTGCCTTGTAGACAGAGAGTTGACCCTTGAGGGCTCAGCCAATTGCTAGTTCATCATTTAGCAGTAAGGCAAATATCCCACCCTCTGACTCCTCCACCTCAACCAAGCTTCACAATCATCATCACTGTGTACCAGTATTAAATTGTTTGTTTAAAACTTATACTGTGTGTGTGTGTGTGTGTGTGTGTGTGTGTGTGTGTATGTATATATATAATATAGTCTTTTGTCTGGTGAAAAAAATTCCCTGGAACCTAACCCCCTCATTTACATTAATTCTTATGGGGAAATTGGAATCACTTAACATCGTTTCACTTAAAGTCGCATTTTTCAGGAACATAACTACAACGTTAAGTGAGGAGTTACTGTAATTTGAAGCAGTCCCACTTCCCCCTCAGCTGCTTGAAGGTAAAAGGAGATTCTTGTCTTGTCCCCCCCAACTTGTCAGAGCCTCCTGGCTGATGTTACAGGGGGTCAGTCTCCATTGCACTGTCTGTTTCAAGGGGTAGAGAGGCAGCTGCTACTCCCAGCCCCCATTTCTCTACCCTGAGTAACTCCAGCATCTGCCTCTGTAGCTTTCCCAAGCAGCAGAGTGAAACTGAGTCAGTTCTGGTTATGGTCACTGATGCCCAAACGGTTCTGAACAACCACTGCATAACTGACTAATCTGCAACTGCCTGGCAAAGCTCAGAGCAGCAGCAGAGGCACTAGAGCTGACTGCAGCCCTGCACTGGTTGTCTTTGGAAGGTTTTCTTCACAACCATAAAGACCTTCATTTGTCAGTTACTGAAAGCTTCAACTCTGCAAAAATAGATGGTGCAGGCCTCCAAACTCACCAGGGAGACATTCCACTCGCTGCAAGCATAGACCCTAGGAATTCTTCAAGCCCTGATGTAATGGGGACAAGTTAACATTTCCCAAACAACCTGAACTTTGGGAATATTCTGGTGTTGGAATATCTGATCTTGCAGACTTAACATTGCATTAGTACCACCTGCAAGGACATTAAACGCAGGTGCTTGGCTGCTGGACACTAACCCTCCCTGGAACTGACATGCCATGTCTCTGCAGTTGTTGGTGGCAGCCTGGGAATTATTACTCAGCTGGGCTGGGGGGAGGATATTGGGTGAGGAATTGCTTTTCCTGTCTGTCCTAGAAGCCATGTGATGGGCATGAGGATTTGCTGGTGCATTCTGTCAGCACCTTCTGGGGACAATTTCTTTGGCGGTAATTCCTCAAGGCACTACACTCTGGCCAGAAAGCCAACAAAGCGCAGACAGAAAGATCCACACAGCACTTCCTCTGGGGTTGTTTTAAGTGATACCCCCACCGTACTAAAGGGTGGGGAGGAACTGGCTTTGGGAAAGAGGCTAATTAATCACTGGAACAATGTACCAAGGGTCATGGTGGGTTCTCCAACACTGGCAATTAGAAAAACCTCCAATCTCGATTTAACAACGGATCTGCAACAGGAATTATTTGGGGCAGGTCTCTGGCCTGTGTAATACAGAAGGTCAAACTAGCGGGTCACAATGGTCCCATCTGGCCTTGGAACCTATGATCTAGATCAGCAGTTCTCAAACTTTAGCAGCCCAAGGACCCCCATTTTGATTTAAAAATTTTGCAGCCCCCCCCCCAACCCATGCTCAGCCCCAGACCCTGCCCCCACTCCAGTCCTCCCTCAAGGCCCCACCTCTGCCCCTTCTCTTTCCGCCCCCTTCCCCGAGCGTGCCCTGTCCCTCCCAGCACCTCCTGCACGCCACTGAACAGCTGTTTTGTGGCATGAAGGAGGCACTGAGAGGGATGGGGAGGAGTTGATCAGCGGGGCCGGCAGCCCCGGACATGACTCGTGGACCCCCTGGAGTACCCTCACGTTGATCTATATATTTAAAAAAAAAAGGGCAAGAAGGCCTCCGGAAGGGAACACTGGCTTTGGGAGAGGGATCCCTTTTCTCCCTTCACACCTAGGCTTTTTTCCCCATGCTGACCCAGGCCTACAATTTTGGATATTTTGCTGGTCTAGCCGGAGATGATGGGGAGAACTTTGGACCATGGCGACTCTTCCTGCCTAATTACCCAGCCCAAGGCAAGCTCCCTTGGTAGCGCCAATCCTCACCATGACCTCCATTAGCTTTTTAGCACTATGAGTGGTCAGGGTGGCTAATAGAAAGTCTGTCTCTTTGGAACAAGTTACTGTATCTAGTAATGACTTCAGACCAATTCCCACAGCTCCCCATGCTCCTACCCGGTAATTAGCAAATCTTTAGGTGACAAAGTCAACACTGTAAATCTCCCAGACTGAAACTCAATTCCAAATGACAGAGAAGGACCTTGTTGATATGGAAGCACAGGAAGTATCAAGACACTAACTGGAGTCTAAATTAAAGGTAATTCCTCACTACCTTGGAATATACCAAATCGAGAAGATTGTAGCAAGAATATTGGATTTGGATTTGATATCTGGGTGGGGAGCTTCTAACTCTCCCTGTTATTAAATTCTTTGCTAAACTGTAATCTTCTCCTCTGGCTATTTAAGATTTTCAAGATATCCCATAAAGGTTCTGCACTGAAACCTTTAGACAAATCTATTCTCTCTCCGTCCTATTATTGTAACATTTACACATTTTTTGAGATAAAGAGTACGGTCATAGTCAAGAAAAAGATGGAAACATTATGTATGATAACAAGCAAATATCTTTCCAAATATATCTAAAGCCACCCACGCTAGACGTAAACAACTATTTTTGCTTAAGGATGCTTTTGATTTCTTGCCCTCCTTTCTCTTCCCTGTCAAGCTTGGATTAATCAAAGATCAAAAGCATTACATGTCTTCTGAGTATGACAATGAGAAAAACTTTCTGGGTTCCATTAGCTCCCATTACTTTTTTATTATTTGATCCTTCTTAGACAACTGACTAATCTCATCTCTATTTAACAATTAGTCTTGTATCAATTTGAGCAAATTCAACTGCTTTTTTGAGACTTATGTAAGATTTTTTTTAAATGAGTTTCGAATGATTTTTCCTTGTTATCCTTCGATAAGTTCTTGCCTGAGGACTTATCTCCGAAGATAAAAATGTATTCAAGTAAAGTTTGTATGAAGATCAATATCGCAGGAATTCTTGGTCATTGATTACAAATTAAATAACAAAAGGCAAAGGCCCTCATTGATATAACTTCGATGTTGAAAATTAAACCACAGCACACTCAGGAAATGAAAGCGTCACGGGTCTCAGAGCCCACACAGCACATCCTGTGCAGCTTGAAGTAAATGTTTAACAGCCTACCTAGAAACCAAAAATACTCCCTATGTGTAATATGGGTGAAGCGACAATGTTTGAGAGTGCGGACTTCTGCATTTCTTGGCGTGAGCATGTTTCCATTTGCAACATTAATACAGGTTCTGCATTTCACTGGTATATTATTGACTGAGAACACTATCTGGGCTAGCCACGCCGGGAAGAGACTCAAGGCCCAATACAGCATCAGCTCCCCCAACATCTCCAGCATGACCAGGAAGAGATATGAGGCAGTAGGTACTGGTTACTGTGGGGAGACAAGTCTACGTATGAAGGAAGAAAAGGGCTCTACGCTCCCACAGCTGGTATTCCCCTCTGTTGGTCTCCTACCTCTTCTTCTTAACCCAGGTCCCGGGGATGCCAGATCCTGAGCCTTGCAAGACAATTCTCCCCATGGAAGTGCCGGCTGCATGTGGTCTGCCTCCCTCCCCTCCTGGCAGCTGCCCTAGCCTGGCATTCACTCTGGCACAAGACCAAGAGCAGCAGTGCTAAGTGGTGGCAGAGGGAGCGGCTCTTAGAGGAGGCTGAGGAGGAAAGCATGGTGCCTAGCAAGGCCCGGGATCTGGCCTGGGGCAGAGGAGGTGAGAGATTTGGGAAGCCACCTCTAAGTTGCCAAATAGGAGCAGACAAAAAGCCCCCCCCCGGACTCCCCCACGCCCAGACCAGGGGAGGACGGGAGCAGCTGGGGGTGAGTTTACAGGCTAGGCGCTAGGGGCTGGTCGAGGGGCTGAGTGGGAGGAGTGTTTGGTCCCACTAAGCTCAGGGGGGGTCCCCGCAGCCGTGTGCTCACCCCAGCGGTGCCTTGAGAGGCTCAGCCAGGCCTTGCCACAGGGCCCGCCCGGGAGACTGCCAGGGAAATACGAAGGATGCTGGTGTTGTTTACATTAAATGAGTCTTGTCTCCATTTCCCCCCTGGCTGACCCTTGCGGACAGAGTGTTGGGGAGCCCAGCCTAGCCCCCAACCCCCATCGCCTGGGTAAGGGGCCGCAGTGCAGACCCTCACAGCACCTGCCTGTCTGCCAGCCAGGCGTGATCTCACCTTCATCCCCACAGCATCTGTGCCCCACAAGGGACCACCTGTAGCGGTGCACCCCCGCCCCTTCCCAGGGGCAGCCCCAGCGTGTGGCCAGGCCAAGCCGGGGGAAGAGGGATGGCTCACGGAGAACGGTGGGCACAGCAGGCAGAGCCCTGGAGAGGGGGGGCTGAGGGTGGGGAAAGGTGGGATGCAGGGGGATGGAGGAAGGCACTGGGGTGGGGGACAGGCTGACAGCTGAGGGGGAATTATCAGGGGGACAGGGCATGTAGGGGAAGGAGCCGGGGGGACATATGGGGGGAGGGGGACAGGCTGTGGGGGGGAGGATCCCAGGGGGCTGGAGGGAGATGAGGGAAGGAGCCAGGTGCCCGGAGGGATAGAGGGTGATGGGGCACGGGAGGAAAGGAGCCAGGGGGATGGTGGGGTGGAGGGGAACAGGGTGCAGAGAGGAAAGGAGCTGGGGGGCTGGGGGGGGGACAGGGCATAGGAAAGGAGCCCAGGGGGATGGGGCACGGGGGGGGGAAGGAGCCCGGGGATGGGGGGGTGGAGGGGAACAGGGTGCGGGGGGGAAGGAGCTGGGGGGATTGGGGGGACAGGGCATGGGAGGAAAGGATCCCGGGGGGAAGAAGGGGGACGGGGCTGGGGGCGGGCGGGAGGAAGGAGCCCGAGGGGAGGGACGGGGGCAAAGTACCGGGGAATGGAGCCGGGGGGATGACGGGGTGAATCACCGGGGTGATGGAGGGGGACGGGACGCTGGGAGGGGGAGGACGAGGGAAGGAGCCGGGGGAAGCACCGGGGAAAGGAGCCGGGGGGATAGAGAAGGAACGGGGGGGGGGAGTGTGTGGAGGGGAGGGCGCAGGCGGAGGGAAGCACCGGGCAAAGGATCCGGGGAGACGGGCGGCACCAGCCGGTGCCCGGCCCCGCCGCTGCAGCCCCAGCCCCGCCCGGTCCCGCTACCTTCCTGCTCATGCTCAGCCGCACGATGCGCTTCAGCTGCGGCTCGTCCTGCAGCAGGCAGCGGAGCTGCGCGGTGCTGAGCCCCGGGGAGCTGGGCTCGGCCGCCCGCGCGCCCCTGCCCCGGTACATGCCGCCCGCCGCCCCGAGCCGTCCGCTGGGAGCGGGCTGCGACCGCACCGACCCGGCCCGCCAGGGGGCGCCGCGGGGGCTCTTAAAGGGGCCGCGCCCCTGTGGGCGGGCACTGCTGGGGCGAGCGCAGCAAGGAGTCCATGTGCGCCGGGACCGGGGACTCGCTCCCCAGTGCTGCCTGGGTAGCAGGTGCCATCGCCCCCTTCATACATGGAGCAGCCCCGGGGCTGCCAGGGCTTCAGGGGCAGCTCAGCCCGGCTGCTGGGAGGCCACGGGACCGTGCGCCGGTGATCGGGTGCAGGGCCCAGGACTCCTGGGCTCTATGGCTGGCCGGGCAGGTCGGCATGCACCTGCCTTCCCCTCCGCCTTGTGGTGAGGGTAGTGCCTGAAGCTGTCCCCCTGCAAGGGCTCCACCTGTCTCCGGTTTCTAGCTCTGTGACACTAAAGGGACATGTTTAAGGTTGCAGAGTGGAGAACTCAAAAGTCAGGAAATGCCAGAATTACAGCTTAGATCCCCTGCACTGAGTGAGACAGGAGCCTGTGGAAACTAAGATGGGGTGCTGTCATCAAGGAGTGGGTCGTAATGCACAACAGGGCAGAGTCAAGGTTGCCCAAGCAGCCATAAACCTGGCCTTTCCTAAGGTTTGACTGCTTGACTCTGCAACTGGAACATTCTTTTCATGTAGGAGGTTTGTGTGCAATTTCTTGGGGAGTCTGAAAAAAGAGAGAAATATATTCTGTTATGTGCAATTAGGTGTCATCAGCATATCATGTGTCACCAGTAGGGCTCCAGCCCAGAGCCTTCAGCAATGACTTACACCACTTGAGCAGAAGGCTATTATCCTTGGGGGAGGAGAGTGGGGACGGGCTGCGCCCCTGTGGGCGGGCACTGCTGTGTAAAGGAGGTAGCTCCAGCTTTCTGTCCCATCCCCCCAGGAGATGATGCTCTATGTGGACCCCAGGAGAGGAGGATGGGATACTAGGGCCATGTGCAGGGCCCAATGGGTGCAGATCCAGGGCCAGCTATTACTCCAGCAGCCTCTGCTGCTGTGGTGGCAGGACCCAGTTGTTGAGAACGTTCTTGTTCAGTCATTTGTTTGGCAGGATACCAACATTTTCTGGAGAAACACAATCCAGAGTAGGGAAATGGTGTATCCCAGCCAAAGTTGAATGGGCAGGGACAAAGAAAAGGCACTTTCCTGCCCCCAGGGCTTTCTCTCTAAGGACTTTCAGAGGCCAGCTGCAAACAATGGAAGTGCTGGAGCTTCTCAAAAAAGGCTCACCAGAGTTTTTTATAATGGACAATGATAGGCAGGCTAAATATAGGGGCCTCTACCAGCTCCCCTGCAATTATTCCTGGTGTTCTGGAGATGGCACTTAGCATACTGGGAGCTGTCCTCACTGCAGGCTTCCCTGTCACACTAACACTGGGGGGTTGAGGGGAAAAGACCTGCATTTGCTTTCCCCAGCTCCTGGCAAACTGCCAACTGAGCTCAGTTTGGCTGTTCCCTGTGATACCTTCCTGGTCCAGTGATTCCTGTTCCTGTGGGCATGCTGGGTGCTCCGACCAGCCCTGCAGATGGCATGGAGTCACTGCCAGGCTGTGAAAGGCTTCTTTTGAAACCAGTCTGACATTCCTGATGCCCATCTCCCTAGAGGAAGGGCCTGATCCGGACTTTCAGTGAGAGGATGCAGTGCTGAGGTATCATAGTATCATAGAATATGAGGGTTGGAAGGGACCTCAGGAGGTCATCTAGTCCAACCCCCTGCTCAAACAGGACCAATCCCCAACTAAATCATCCCAGCCAGGGCTTTGTCAAGTCTGACCTTAAAAACCTCTAAGGAAGGAGATTCCACCACCTCCCTAGGGAACCCAGTCCAGTGCTTCACCACCCTCCTAGTGAAAAAGTTTTTCCTGATATCCAACCTAAACCTCCCCCACTACAACTTGAGACCATTACTCCTTGTTCTGTAATCTGCTACCACTGAGAACAGTCTAGATCCATCCTCTTTGGAACCCCCTTTAGGTAGTTGAAAGCAGCTATCAAATCCCTTCTCATTCTTCTCTTCTGCAGACTAAATAATCCCAGTTCCCTCAGCCTCTCCTCATAAATCATGTGCTCCAGCCCCCTAATCATTTTTGTTGCCCTCCGCTGGACTCTTTCCAATTTTTCCACATCCTTCGTGTAGTTTGGGGCCCAAAACTGGACACAGTACTCCAGATGAGGCCTCACCAATGTTGAATAGAGGGGAATGATCACGTCCCTCGATCTGCTGCCAATGCTCCTACTTATACAGCCCAAAATGCCGTTAGCCTTCTTGGCAACAAGGGCACACTGTTGACTTATATCCAGCTTCTCATCCACTGTAACCCCTAGGTCCTTTTCTACAGAACTGCTGCCTAGCCACTCGGTCCCTAGTCTGTAGCAGTGCACTTGTCCTTGTTGAACCTCATCAGGTTTCTTTTTGTCCAATCCTCTAATTTGTCTAGGTCCCTCTGTATCCTATCCCTACCCTCCAGCGTATCTACCACTCCTCCCAGTTTAGTGTCATCTGCAAACTTGCTGAGGGTGCAATCACGCCATCCTCCAGATCATTAATGAAGATATAGAACAAAACCGGCCCCAGGACCGACCCTTGGGGTACTCCATTTGATACCATCGGCCAACTAGACATGGAGTCATTGATCACTACCCACTGAACCTGATGATCTAGCCAGCTTTCTATCCACCTTATAGTCCATTCATCCAGCCCATACTTCTTTAACTTGCCGGCAAGAATACTGTGGGAGACCATATCAAAAGCTTTGCTAAAGTCAAGGAATAACATGTCCACTGCTTTCCACATCCACAGAGCCAGTTATCTTGTCATAGAAGGCAATTAGGTTAGTCAGGCATGACTTGCCCTTGGTGAATCCATGGTGACTGTTCCTGATCACTTTCCTCTCCTCTAAGTGCTTCAGAATTGATTCCTTGAGGACCTGCTCCATGATTTTTCCAGGGACTGAGGTGAGGTTGACTGGCCTGTAGTTCCCTGGATCCTCCTTCTTCCCTTTTTTAAAGATGGGCACTACATTAGCCTTTTTCCAGTCATCCGGGACCTCCCCCGATCACCATGAGTTTTCAAAGATAATGGCCAATGGCTCTGCAATCACATCCGTAGTCGTGGCGGTGCTGGGATGCTAGGCAC